GGACTTACAACGAGATGCTGCTGCTGTTGCTCCTGCTGCTGCTGCAAGGATAATAACAGAGAGACAGCGAGAGGGCCAGCCTGCTGTGCCTGCCCCCCCGTCCGCCCCGCTGCCTCTTAAGTGTTTTAAACTGCCACCATTTAACGGTAATTATTGCAACACTGTGGCACATTTTAAGTGCTCTCATGGCGCGCAGTTCGCCTCGGACTGACTCTCTGATGGTCAACACCTGGACGGCAGCGCACCAGCACCTGGCCTGCATAAATTTCCGGCTCAGCATTTTACTTAATCCCGTCTATTTTGCAAAAGGATTATCAAGGCAACTTTTTAATTCGACGGCGAAGTAGCCCCAGCCCCAGCACCAGCCTCCCCTCCTCCCATCCTCATCCACCCATCAACCCATCCTTGTCGTCGCCAGTCGTGATGTCAGCAGTTTTCTGTGGTGGCCTTTTAATGGGCCTTTCATGCCCCTTTCCTTTCATTATCCAGGACGAGCCCCATCATCAACTCTCCTTTTAATGCCCATTGAAGGCCCATTTGATGCGTGGCCAACAAAGCGTGCTCGGGAACTTGCCAACTTTTGCCACCAGCCACCAGGCAGCAGGCAGCAGGCAGCAGACAGCACTGCAGCAGGCGAAAAGATAATAACTTGAAATGATGGATTAAAGTAGCCGTTAAATTGAAGTCGTACGACTAGGTAAGCGCAGCGAGGGTCAAGGGTCGAGAGGTCCTTATATCTCTCTGACTTTCCTCTAGGAAGAGTTTTTGTAGGGTTTCAATTGCTCTTCGGTAGAGACGCGTCCCAGAAATGTGTACTGTCCATCTTTATGAAAATCGTTTGCTTAAAATGTTTGCCCAAAAATGTTCCTTTTTATTCATATGTATGTACATATGTATGTAGATGTGTAAATAAAAAATCTGTATTTCCTCCTAGGAAATGATGAGTACGACTATCGGAATAACACTTTCATCAACGGATGTAACCTTCCTCGCTCAGAGCTCGCTGCTGATGCACAGTGCTACTTTTTGTACATGGCCGTCAGAGAGTCTACATCACAATTTGAACCTGCGACACGAATATAGCGCACGGCTCGCTCCTTGAAGATGCAGTTTGATTCCGCTTTTTCCTGATTTTAACTCGATGCCACAGGATGCCAGTGAGCCTGGTCGCAAGAGACATCCAAGTCGATCACTTTTTTATATGCGTGAGAAATGCGAAATCCAATACAATTTATTACCAAATGGTTTCTCATCTCGAAGACTGTACGATTTTGCTCATCCAAGAAACGGCGCGCAAGACGTTTCGGCAACACGACGACACGGTAGGGCAGATTCTCTACGGTATCCACTTGACCAATGGCGTTGAATATTTGGTCCGGCTCGAGTAAGCCAGAGGGGCGTACCTCTTGCACCAGCTGTTGGACAGTCAAAAGCGGGAGACGTACGAGCGCAGCCACCGTCTTGAAGTCCTCGCTCGGATGGTTGTCCCTCCATTTGCATACAGCTCGAAAGATATCAATTTCGAGGGCCCCAAAGCTGTCCCGTCGCAGGAGTTCCTCAAGTGATTCCTTGGACAGCTTTTCGAAGGAATCATGTTTTACTATATCGGAGCCATTGTTGTCGATGAAATTGAGGCATTCTTCAGCCCGTTGGTTGAGATTGTTGCGGCGTGCCACATCCAGTATCGTGCACACATTACTGACAGAAAGATTCTGCTGCAGGTATTTTTTTATTCCCGACTCGACGGCCTGCAACCCGTAAAGATGGGCCAAATCGAGCACATCGATAATGGTGTCCACGTCCAGTGTGGACAGAGGCATCTTCCCCGAGTAGAGATATCCCAGGATTAACTTGAAGGCTTCAAGCGGCACCTCCAGCCGAACTTCCCGTTGGTTCGACTCAGCCAAACCGCCGTAGAGCAAAGCGCGGAAGTACTCAGAGCGCGCCGCCAGAAGGAGACGTCTGGACAGGCAGCCGCTGATCCTCCACCAAGAGCTCCACGTCCGACAAGTGCTCGTTCATGCAGAGGTCGCCACCCAAAACCCATATTTATTTCCTTCTCCGTTTTTTTGTTGTGCCTGGACTTGGTATTGTACGAGCACCCTGTTTATTTCATGATTTGCTGCGGAAATGACGCAAATAACGCAACAAATTTAAGCAACTTAAACAAAATTTTACAAAGTCACAAACAATAGACAAAACGCAAAAACACACCTTTCGCTTCGGGTCGGCTTCGGCTTTGGGTTATTTATGACAATAGGCATGTGTGAGAGACCCGGACCCGACAACAGGATGTTTTATATTATGCCATGGGAAAATAAAGGCAAACACACACGCAGACGTCCCTGAACACATCCGCCCACGTACGTAGTGTCCTATTTGGCTATTGTTCTTGTTGTTGTTGTTGTTGTTGTTGTAATATTTTGCATAAATTCCATTTATGTTCGAAAGAATGAAGGGTATGCAGGGACTTGTGAGGGGTATGGCACATAGAGAAAAATATTAAAAAGGTGTGAAACAGTTTTGAGTTGAGTTTTCGGACCCCGTAGGGGGCTAGTTCCAATATATTCAGAGAATATTATTATTAGAATATCTCCTGATTAGATCTTAGATTAGATACATCAGATATCTACTCTTAATAAATTTAAGTATTTAGAAGTAACAAAGAAGAGACTTCATTTTCACAAAGTCCACTCAAAATATACTTAATTTCAAATTTTGGTTTACAACTAAAATTCCCAACTATTTTCCAGGTCATTCGCCTAGGCGACCCACCAATTAGACAATACTTTTTAACCTTTTTGTGTCATTTTGAGAGTGAAATTTAATTGTGCTGCTCATTAATGGCACGTCGCCTGCCCCGAAAGCCTGCCGCCGGAAATATGTGATTTCCGGCAATAAATACATATTTGTGCCATATTCAGAAAAATGCATACATTACTCATACATATGTATGTACATATATGTGCATATTCAGGTATAATATGTATTTATATCTGCATGTAAATTCTCAATAAATTCCAGGCAGGGAAATACTGAGAAATCCGCACAGATAATTACATGATGGAATAGGGGGACAATGCTACTCCAGAATACCATATATTTTCCCACATTCGCATGCAGAAATTTATGAGTTTCAATTTAAATTTATAACTTGATTATCACTTTTGCATATTCTATTTGATGGCAGGGCTTTTTCTCATCCTCATTCGTAGCGCGTATTATGAGGGTCTGAGAGAGCAAACAATCATTTGAGCATAAAGCCATAAATCTATGCGCCAATAAGAAGGATTCCAAAGGAGTAATACGAAACACACACACACCAACAGAGGGGAAAGAATTTCGAGAATAAGCACAAAAAAAAAGGGACAAGCGGACATGAGACAGCAGAAAGTTGGAATATTATGTGGAATTTGCGGAAATACACTTTCTTTTCAGAAGAGGGAACTAAGGTAAGGCGCTCACGCTTATGGAGAAAGTGTCTTAAATATTTGGCTAGAATTAATCATATTTTTGAGAAGATATTTCCATTAATTACCTAGAGAGCAACATACGTATACTCTAGAAGTGACTTTAAATCGCACCCGTGGCACCACAAAGCTAATCAACTTTCTTCAGTTAAAGCACGAGTATATGTATAAATCTTTCAATGATAATGGAGGAATGGGGCGACCGAAGCCGAAGCCGAAGCCAATCAAAGACAAAACAATAAACAGGCATGACAATAAATAAATAAATAAATAAATGCCCAGACAAAGGACTCGCAACGGGGACAGCAGGCAGCAGTCAGCAGTCAGCAGTCGAGAATGCCAGGAGTCGAAATCGGGCATCAAGAGCCAGGACTTGAGGAGCCCAGAGCCAGTCCACTCCCCCCTATAGGAGCCTGGAGTGCGAGAATGAGGTCCTGGCACGCAGCAGCGTTTTGTTTTGCGTGAAAGGATAATGACGCGCCCACTTTCCGCCGCCCAATACTCTCCTTGCAAAATGCAAACGACAATATTGAAAGGAAAGGAAGGACAGCGCCATAGGGAGAAGGATGGGGCTGGGACCTGGTGCGGGTCCTGGTCCTGGTCCTGGGTTGTGGTTCAGAAATTGATTGAATGGCGTATTAAATTTAAACCACACACCCACACACACCCAGATACACACACGCACACGCACACGCCGTTCCATAAGTAAACATTTATCTTTCTCCCCCCCTCCCCACCCTTTCCACATTTCTCTGTGGGGTTGGGTGTGTGTTTTGCTATGTTTTTTTTTTCGTACCCACTTCAATTTAACGGCTACTTAAGTCCATCATTTTGAATATACGTAATACAGAATACCACAGGGAATTCGCGAAATGAAACTGGATGGGGAATAAAGAGAAAGAGTATGTACATATGTACATATATATGTGCCTACCGCTAACTAAAAACGAGGGGGAACGTTGTGAGTTGCTGCGGCGACCGCAACTCTACATCAGTCAGAACGTGTCGACGGGCGCTGCGTAGCCAGTGGCTTCGACGATCGAAGCTTTTAAACTGACGGAGCAAGAGCTTTTAGATCATTTTGCAACCAGCTCTAAAAATCAACGGATGAATAAACCGTTCTGTTGATTTCGAATTTGGTCTCGCGCACACTAGGCCGGAAAGGGGCCTAAAAGCGCAGCTGATCTAAAATCACTTTCTAAATTTCGATCTGAGATTTCTTTGGGCAAGCACGGACTGCCAGGGTGCGCGGCGCACACGATCGCCGGAGTTGAACACTGAAGTGTTTAGGATGAAGCTACTCTCCGAAATGTAAGCCTATCTCGGGCAGAAATGCTTGATTGATCAAACAAAGCTATAAGCATAGTGTACACGAGAGGTCTACTCGTACCCTATCGATAGTAGATAGTGGTGGGATCTCCAATCTTATCTTATCAGCGCGATCGTTTCCGCACCGATCATTTTTTAGTTGTTCGATCTGACTAATCGGTCATGCAAGCAGTACTAAATCTGCGGAGCACCGAATAACATTTAATTGCAATTGTTACAGGTTATTTGAGGAAACGAAAAAAGTGAGTTTTCGAAACAGAAAGCATTGAAATCTAGACAGCCTCTATCCATTCCACACACAGAAATCTAGCGACGAAAATGAGCAGCCAGGCAAATAAAGATACCTCGTCGTCCCCGAATTCCACTAAAGAATACATTATCGACTACAGCGGCAGCCTCGTCGAGGACATGGCCAGCCTCTGCATGAACGAGCCCTACTCGGACGTGGAGTTCCTGGTGGAGAATCAGCGGCTGCCGGGCCATCGCAACATTCTGGCGATGCGTTGTGAGTACTTCCGCGCTTTGCTCTACGGCGGTTTGGCCGAGTCGAACCAACGGGAAGTTCCGCTGGAGGTGCCGCTTGAAGCCTTCAAGTTAATCCTGGGATATCTCTACTCGGGGAAGATGACTCTGTCCACACTGGACGTGGACACCATTATCGATGTGCTCGATTTGGCCCATCTTTACGGGTTGCAGGCCGTCGAGTCGGGAATAGGAAACTACCTGCAGCAGAATCTTTCTGTCAGTAATGTGTGCACGATCCTGGATGTCGCACGCCGCAACAATCTCAACCAACGGGCTGAAGAATGCCTAGATTTCATCGACTACAATTGCTCCGATATATTAAAACATGATTCCTTCGCACAACTGTCCAAGGAATCACTTGAGGAACTCCTGCGACGGGACAAGTTGGCGGCTCTCGAAATTGATATCTTTCGAGCTGTATGCAAATGGAGGGACAACCATCCGAGCGAGGACTTCAAGACGGTGGCTGCGCTCGTACGTCTCCCGCTTTTGACTGCCCAACAGCTGGTGAAAGAGGTACGCCCCTCTGGCATATACGAGTTGGGACAGATACTCGACGCCATTGGTCAAGTGGATACCGGAGAGAATCTGCCCTACCGTGTCGTCGTGTTGCCGGGGGAGGATGTGGCATCAGGGAAACATCTTGCGCGCCGTTTCCAGGATGAGCAAGATCGTACAGTCTTCGAGCTGAGAAACCTTTTCGCAATCAACTTTATTGAAGTTATTTTCCAATATGGCTCATATAGCATCAGTTTCGAAGTGCATGTTTCTTGCGACCAGACTCACTGGAATTGTGTGGGATCGGAAAGTCTTCATGGAAACGCGACACTTAACTTCACATTCGAACAGCGACCCGTTCGCTACATTCGTATCGGAACTGTACCTACTGGTTCTAAACATTTTATGCATTCTCTGACAGCCATGTACAAAAAGTAGCACTGAAATTTTTCCCATTTCCTGAAAGCAAATGTGGCACAGTCCCGTTCCTAATCATCGGTAATCTTGTCATCACAAAAGTAAAAACGGTAGAAAAAAATGATGTTGCTTCCTTTTTATATTAGATTTGTGGTAAAAGTGGATGTGTGTAACGTCCAGAAGGAATCGTTTCCGACCCTATAAAGTATATACATTCTTGATCAGCATCAATAGCCGAGTCGATTGAGCCATGCCTGTCTGTCCGTCTGTCCGTCCGTCCGTCTGTCCGTCTGTCCGTCCGTCCGTCTGTCCGTCTGTCCGTCCCCTTCAGCGCCTAATGCTCAAAGACTATAAGAGCTAGAGCAACGATGTTTTGGATCCAGACTTCTGTGATATGTCACTGCTACAAAAATATTTCAAAGCTTCGACCCGCCCACTTCCGCCCCCACAAAGGACGAAAATTTGTGGTATCCACAATTTTAAAGATACGAGAAAACTGATACGAGAAAAACGCAGCATCGTAGAGGATGACTATATCTTCTCGAGTGCAAAATCTGCAAAATCCTATAATTATTATAGCCAGAATCAAGAAAACAATTTCATTCTTTCTCGCTCTGTCTCTCTCTAACACACAGGTTTCATGGTCTTTTTTGCCAATTGCAAAATATGAGTTCAAGGATCTCAGAATCCATAAGAGCTAGAGCAACCAAATTTGGTATCCACACTCCTGTGATATCGGACCTTGACCGTTTCGTGTCCAAATTTCGCCACACCCCCTTCCGCCCCCGCAAAGGACGAAAATCTGGGGCAACCTCAAATCTCAGGGACTGTTAAGGCTAGAGTAACCACTATAAAACGTATATCTCAGAATTCCGCCCCACCCCCTAACGCCCACACAAATGACGAAAATCTGTTGCATTCACAATATTGCAGATTCGAGAAAACTAAGAACGCAGAATCATAGATAATGACCATATCTTCGCACGCACTCTTTGTCGTGTCGCTTAATATTAGCGGCGTCTTCCGGAGGCGAGCCATACTGACTTAGTATCAGGTGTAAATGTAGAGTTGCGGTGTCCGCAGCAACTCACAACGTTCCCCCTCGTTTCTTATACATATGACCAAAAAAGCCTTTTTAATCTATTTGATATTATTTGATAATGGGTCGCATAGGCGTTTGTCATAATTTTTATGATTTTCGGGGTATATTCATGGTCGCCATCCCCATTTTACAAATTCCAGTGCTACTCGTACTAAGATCGTAAGTAGCGAGCGAGGATCTACTGGGCTGCTCGAGGACATTGGCACATACTTCACGACGATCGTCCTCGTAGCTCAGCTTCGATACGACGCTGCTGGTCGCTGCCCCAGGGTCCACCTGCGACTGGATCTGCAGGGGCATCTGTTGGATATCTTATGGCCTATCTTATGTTCTGCCTAAAGGTTTTCCCGCCATTTTCCACAATTACTGGGTATACTATACTGGGTAGCTATTTAAAATTAAGTTTTTCACCTAACAATAATGTATAAATTCCCTCTTTGCAGAGACTACACTCAACACAAAAAGCCAAGACCAAATGGCATTATAGAGGCAGGCCGGCGGCCTCCTGTTGATGACGTGAAAAGGAGGCAACAATATCAGAGACTTTGCCTGGGCCATCATCAAGTTACTTAAGTGATTTCAATTTAGTAAATTTTTTACTGCCACAAGAAAGAAGTAAGTAACTATCGAAACTATCCCAGCAACCAAAAAATACATAGATAGGGCTTTGGGCCACCCATAAAGTGTCTTTGCTTAGTGGCATGTCAATAGGTGGGTGTGGCAGCAGCCACTTAGCCCGTTCGGAAATTCTCTACAGCTGCAGCTGGCAAACGCTCGCAAAAATATCGAACGTTAACGTATTTATGGCTGCACTTTGCCTGACAACAGACGCCCCAAACTGGCATGGGATATGGAGTGAAGTGAGCGGAGCCTTCTTAAATTCTCTGTTGTCGTGCAACAACTGAAGCGTTTCCCCGTTCCCCAACAAGGCGCAAACCATTTCTTTTTTTTTTTTTTGCACCATTTTTGTTACATTTCCGCTTTTTTGCATTCAATTTAATTTAACATAAACATTTATATGTTTATTATTATCCAACGCACACGCAGGGCAGAGGCAGGGGCAGTGTGGCATCGGCTGAGGCAGTACGCGGTGGCAGTGTGGCAGCGGCAGCGGCAGCGGCAGCGACGTTGCTGTTGTGCATTGTGCAGAAGAGAGTTTCATGCTTGAAATGCGCATACGTAGCGTATACGTAATATGCAATTTCGTAACGGAATCAAGGGGTTAATATACAGTGAAAGCTGCCCATCAACGGACACCCGAAACATGGCAGGGCTTTTTTCTCCAAAGACAATCTTCACTGTAGTTTGCAGAAAAAAAAGTATCCACTATAAATTTTGTGTGCAGCAAAACTTGCAACAACAACAATGGGATAGGGGAGTGGCATGGGGAAGGGGAACGAGGATTGGGGCTTGTGGCACGGGGAACAACTGCAACAACAACTTAAATCTTAAGTAGCTCAACTTGTTTATTTATCGAAGCAGAAGTTAATGCAGTGTGGGGGTGGTTTCAGGGTGTGCTCCACCATGGTTCATGCTTGATGCTTGAAGTGGGTGAACAGGTGAAAAAAATCCAGCAATGCGTCAACACACCGTTGTTGTCCCCTTTCCCTAGCCCCCAACCAAACATTATACGCAACTGTAATTGCAGGCGAAAAAAAAGGGGAACATTTGTCGAGCCACCGAGATTCCAGATGTTAAATGTTGGAAACTGAAAATGTTATGGAATTTGTTTTATTTAAATCTGAAAATGTTAGCCACTTTTGCATATGGTGAAATGACTTGAAAAACTTTAATTTGTTCATTTCTTAGGGCACACCTTGGAGTAGAGAAACTCTGCTGATGGCCAGAAATAACAAATATTTGGGAATATATTCGGCAGTCGAGGCAATAGATGCTCTTGCAAAATCACAAAACTATCTTTGGAACAACAAATTTCTACATATTCTAAATATGAAAACGTTCTTCGATGATACGATACGATATAGGGCTCTGATTCGGGACTTTCCGACTTGTAAACGATAACCAAAAAGGACATTTTTTCAACCAAATATTATTAGTTGTATTTTCTTTTTATTTGTACATATCGCCATATTTTCTCCCTTATAATGGAGAGATACCCCCCTTTAAAAGGGTATGATGAAAAGAGAAAACAAATTACATATTAAAAGATGACCGGGGGAACAACCCGAAACCCCGAACACAACGAAATGAGAATGAAACTTTATCAAAACAATTTGTGGTGAAGCTTTGCATATAAAACTGAAGCCAGATACAACATACACAGATGGATAGATGGACGGATACAGATGCAGATACAGATACAGATACATGAGGGAGCATCATGGGGAGGGGGTAGCTAAAGTTTAAGCTGGCTGCAGAGAAGCTTAGCTTTTAATTTTCCAGACACGTGCGAGCGGCGTAAACAACAAAAAACAAGACCAAGACCGACACATATCAGAGGACAAATAAGCAAAATTTGTTTTCATATCTATTTTTTGTTGTGTTTTTGTTTTTGTACTTCTCTCTCTCTCTCTGTCTCTCTCTAGGGGATTCTGTGCGGAGTGTTTTTAAAGTTTTGGCACGCTTCGCTTTAATGCAATTATGAAAGGGGGAACAACAACGACAAGGATCACTGAAGTTTCCCCAGCTTGCGGGCCAGAAAGGTCCTCAGTCGATAGACTCCATAGTGTAGGGTAGACACGACCACCGACAAGGCACTAATAGCGCCAATGGTAAACAGGGCTTCCCTGGGCTTACTGTAGTTCAAAACGTTATAGATATAGCGACGGCCCTTTCTGTAGAGAAACACAGGACATGGTATTATATAGGAACACATTATTGGACATGTCTTCTCACAAATCCAATCCACCCATCACATAATAGATGAAAGTAAATCCTGTATATAACCACCCGAAGGCCAAAGGATACACGAAGTGCAGGAGACGCGTTGGTTGGGCCACTATAAGGTGGTCCACTGTGAAGAAAATCGGTGGCAGGGCATGTGTCCAGATGTTATAGAGATCAGTGAAGTATGCAGGATTGCTGGGATCACGATCCTGTGGATATATGCAGGTCCAATAGACCAGAGCTATCACATTTGCGAATATTAAATTGATCCAATAGCAGACCCAATAGGCTTTGATTTGCCAGTTATTTCTGACTAAAAGAGCGGACATATTGAAAGGCATAAGGAATATCAAGTCGAAGAATATATGTACATCTCTCACCCATTCGCTGTGGATTCCAATGGTGGAATGTCACCAATATGGCGCCACTCACACTGGTAATGCCACACAATAGGAAACCCCAATCGGTCAAATAGATGAACCATCGACCATTGTGATGATATTTGGCCAAACAGCTGATGACGCCCGTGCCAAAAAAGATGCCCAGAAGCCAGCGATAGCCAAGAAACCATCTAGAGGTCAAACCCGACTGCCACTGCAACGAAAAATGTTGAATTATATACCCCACAGCGGAGAGATATACGGTCTTCCAACTTGGGATCGTAGAAAGTCTTCGGGGGCATGATGTTGCAGCCCAAAGTTCTCGCGTCGTAGCTCCTCGCTTAAGCTCAAGGGTTGCTGATGTGGCACCGTCTCCCCATCGTTTTTTATCAAATTTTTGTTTTCACCCATAGAGAAATTGGAGTTTATTTTTATTTCCAGGGATTTGCCTAAATTGTATCTAAAAATAAATGTTGCTTATTTGATGTTTCTGGCAATGGCGTTGGACTGCTTATCTTGCAGGACACACGCTTCCGCTGCCTTCTCTCTGAATAATTAACAACTTTATGCGATTCCGACTGAGGTCTCGGGACGGGGTTGGCCATCGTCAAGGGGGATCTTCAACCGTTCCACGGGGGTTCGTTTCGTTTCGCGTATATTACGACATGTGGCCTGACATCATTTTCCTCCCCCCCCCCCCAGCCAACACGCCAAGATTGCGGTGGGAGTGTGTGGCAGGACCATGGCAGAGGCAGGATGTCGTTCTGAGCCAAGCAGACACTTTTAATTGAGAGACACTTGGGCTGAGCTGTAGCGTGCAATTAAAATGCCATTACATGCGAAAACAAAGTACCGACTGCACAGTGGAACGAGAACACGACCGTATAGTTATTATCACTATCTCTATTTTTCTATTTTTCTCTTTCCTTTCTTGCAAAAAACACGCAATTTTACGGGGAATAATTTCACAATGAATAAAGTAATAAATCTTAAATAAATAAAAAAATATATTAATAATTAATTCAATAATAATCAAAGTATTTTAAAATATTAATTTGCTGGGAAGGGTATCTCTTAGCCCTTTATTAATGCCTCGTGCACCACTGTGCCGCGCATCACAGTAAATTCCGTGGCAAGGATTTTGAGCGTCTCGTCAGCAGCAGCCCCTAGCCAGAGAGAAGTGCGTGTCAGACTGTGTGTGTGTGTATGTGTGTGTGGATGCCCGTCCCAGAGGCTGCCAGGAGAATAAGTAAATCTTCGTCTCCAGAGAGCCAGAGCCCGTCCCATCCCATCCCATCCCACCCCATTGGCCGCGACTCCCATGTGGGGGCCACATTGGCCACACGACTAATTCTCTGTCATGGTCTCCGTCTGCATGTATGTTGTGTTTTTGCACAAAACTCGAATTTTTCAGGGGAAACATTTACATTTTTAAATTATATATTTTTTATTAGTCTAACAAAAAAAAAAAAAAAAAAAAAATACATAAATTTTACTAATAGCTGCCTATTACTTTTAATATGGAAGGATAAATAATATTGAGTTTAGTTTCGATATTTAAAAATATTGAGGTCTTAGGGAACTCTCACCAAATATAAACTTTTGTGTGCCATCATATATACCTCTTATCAAAAAGTCAAAGAGAAAGAAGCCGGGTCAACATTAGTTTCATTTCTGGTCCCGAACATATAGGATATGTTTTGAACAAAAGTCAGCTTTAAATCATTCAGTACAAAATTTTAAATATCGGTTAGACCAGTAAACCTGCAGCGACATGAACAGGCGAGGTATAGGCATGCTGAAAACGCTCAAGAGCACCTGTCGCACATTTCCATGTCGTTTCGCTACCAAAGTTTCGAAAATTGGCAGCGGGACTGGCATCGGGAGAATCCCCAGCGGAGTGCGAGGGAAAGATGGCCTCAGCAGGGTTAATATGCCGTCGATCGTTACGCACCTTCCTCGACTAAAAGAACCACTGCCAAACGTGCCGGAGGTTGAATACGCAGCCCCAATGGCTGAGAGTGCCGCCACAAGGGTAACGACCCTTGAGAATGGACTGCGCATTGCCTCGGAGCCGCGCTGCGGACAATTCTGTACTGTCGGCCTGGTTATAAACTCGGGCCCACGCTATGAGGCGGCCTACCCCGGCGGTGTATCGCATTTTCTCGAAAAGCTAGCCTTCAACTCCACAGCTAACTTTCCCAACAGAGATGCCATACGGAAAGAGCTGGAGGAGAACGGGGGCATCTGCGACTGTCAGACCTCGCGCGACACTCTCATCTATGCCGCCAGCATCGACAGCAGGGCCATTGACTCGGCTACGCGTCTCTTGGCGGACGTCGCTCTGCGACCCACGATAAGCGAGCAGGAGGTGAATCTAGCAGCGCGTGCCGTCAACTTCGAGCTGGAGACGCTGTGCATGCGCCCCGATCAGGAACCGATACTGATGGACATGATACACGCGGCTGCCTACGGGGACAATACGCTAGGCCTGCCGAAGCTCTGCCCTCCAGAGACTCTGGAAAGCATAGATAGGGCTGTGCTAATGAAGTACCTGAAGCATCATCACTCTCCCAGCCGCATGGTTTTCGCAGGCGTTGGTGTGGATCACGACGAACTGGTGGAGCTCGTGAGGAAGTACTTTGTGGAAGAAAAACCCATCTGGGAGAGCGAGCCAGAAAGCAGCGTAGGACCTAAGCAGGTGGACACTTCCATCGCCCACTACACTGGCGGTATTGTGAAGGAGCAATGCGAGATTCCCTTTTACGCGGCCGCTGCTCTGCCGGAGCTGGCCCATGTCGTCCTTGGCTTTGAGGGATGCGCTCACCAGGATCCAGACTATGTGCCCCTATGCGTGCTCAACATAATGATGGGCGGCGGGGGCTCCTTCTCCAGGGGCTCCGGCGGTCACGGCAAGGGAATGAACTCGCGCCTCTACACAAAGGTCCTAAATCGCTACGACTGGGTGCACAGTGCCACGGCACACAATCATGCCTATACCGACAGCGGCTTGTTCTGCATACACGGCAGTGCGCCGCCGCAACACTTGAACGACATGGTCGAGGTGATAGTCCGCGAGCTGTTGAGCATGGCAGCCGAGCCGGGACGCGAGGACTTAATGCGCTCGAAAATACAGCTGCAATCGATGCTACTGATGAACCTGGAATCGCGAGCTGTAGTGTTCGAGGATGTCGGGCGCCAGGTGCTCGCGTCGGGGCATCGCAAGCGGCCAGAGCATTTCATTGAGGAGATAGAGAAAGTGTCCGCCGCAGATATACAACGCGTGGCCACACGACTGCTTAGCTCCCCGCCATCACTGGCAGCACGCGGAGACATCACCGGCCTGCCCGAAATGGGCCAAGTCACCTCCGCCCTTGCTGGTGCTGGGCGCACCGGTCTCGGGCGACGATTGTCCCCCTTCAGTTCAGACCAGCATTTCTGCAAATCTACCAAATCGAACGAATCAGAGGGATTGTGCCTCACAGACAAGAATGTGGTTTTCGTGGCCGGTCTGGGAGGAATTGGCATGGACACCAGCCGGGAGTTGGTTAAGCGTGACCTCAAGAACCTGGTCATCTTGGATCGCATTGAAAATCCGGAGGCCATTTGCGAACTGAAGGAACTCAATCCGAAGGTGAAGGTCAGCTTCTATCCCTACGATGTGACTGTGCCTCTCAAGGAGACGACCAAGCTCCTGAAGACCGTCTTTGCAAAGATAAAGACTGTCGATGTGCTGATCAACGGTGCTGGCATCCTGGACGATCATCAGATCGAGCGCACCGTTGCCGTTAACTATACGGGCCTGGTCAACACCACCACTGCCATTATGGAGTTCTGGGACAAGCGCGAGTGCGGCCCTGGCGGCATCATTTGCAACATTGGCTCCGTCACCGGTTTCAATGCCATCTACCAGGTGCCCGTTTACTCCGGCACCAAGGCGGGGGTGGTTAACTTTACCTCCTCCCTGGCAGTAAGTAATCCAGCGTCTTTATTACTCCCTAAACTGAATATTTCCTTCAAATCTCATAGAAATTGGCCCCCATTACTGGTGTCACTGCTTACACTGTCAATCCTGGCATCACTAAGACCACTCTTGTCAATAAGTTCAACTCGTGGCTGGATGTGGAGCCCGAGGTGGCGAAGAAGCTGCTGGGGCCTCCCAACCAGACCTCTCAGCAGTGTGCCGCGAACTTTGTGAAGGCCATTGAGCTGAACCAGAATGGTGCCATCTGGAAGTTGGATTTGGGCACTTTGGAGCCCATCAAATGGACCAAGCACTGGGACTCTGGCATCTAAACCACTCTCTAAACTACACACACTCTCTAAACACTACCACATGATAAGGCTGATTTGATTATCTTTTCTGGAACCCCGCTCGAAATATCATAATATTACAAAATTATATTCGGCAAAAATTTCAATTTTATTTTGAAATTTTTTAAATTAGACTCTTAAGTTGTCCTCTTTCCTTCCCTCTCAAAGGGTCAAAAATTTGGTCAAATCCTGTTGCATATTGAGCAACAGGTATGTCCTCTGCGCATTAGGATCCCCTCCAAGCATTTTCTCCTTGTATTCGGGATCGTTGCAGCTGTATTTTTTGGAAAATGTCTTGTAGCGCTCTATTTCACCCTCCAGATAGTCGTTTGCTCCCTCGGATGCTTCACCGCGCAGCTCGCGACGAATGCACTCCATAAGGAAGGTCCTGTTGCAACGGCGGTTTGTTGTCACAGTTCGAATTATTTTCTCTCTATCATACTCCCCACCGGAGGCCTCTGGCCTCCACTGATTCGTATGGGTGCCATTTTTCTGCTTCTTTTGATTCGATCCCTTGAACCCGCACTCTTTCCGGCTTGGGAACTGCGCTCTATAGGATTGTATTGAAGTTGTATGCCTTCTGTCATCATCATAGCATGGTTTGTCGTTGAAGGATACTGGCGTTTTCCGATTGTTGATGCAACTATGCTTAAGAATCGAACGTGTGGGCATAGCAGAATGAGGATCAGGAGGGGCCTCTATGAGGGCAGTACCAAAATCCTCAACTGGCACACCTCCTCCTTCTGCACCTGATGGGGAGAATTCTGTTCTATCTTTCCTTTCCGCAATGAAGCGAGGGGGCGCCCCGAAGGTGTCGAATTTCACGTGCGAGGGCTTGTAGTAGGATCCCGACTGTTGACCCACATGGGGCGGTGGTGGAAAGGTGGTAGGATCGTAGAAGGTTTCCGTCCGTGACTGTTCCTGGTATCTCCGTGGCTGTTGCTGGAAACTCTGAGGTTCTTCGGTGCTAAATACCTGATGTTCTATCATAAATTCTTCTGATTCATCCATGAAACGCTGTTGTCTATCCACCGCTTCCCGTGGCTGTTCGCTTGAAGACTGAGGACTTCCCAAACCCATTGTGTCCTCTAAAAGACGGTTCTGTGGCATGCCCCTACACGTATCAAACTTCTGCCTCGACGCATGATACGTGGTGTCCGGAAAGTCCATCCAATTGAGTTCTTCCGGGGGCATCTGCTTCAAGATCCCGTAGAGGCGCCTCTGATTGAAGCACTCAAGCAATGCACTCATGTACGCCTTTCGTATGCGCGCCTTGAACACTGTGTTGCAGTTCATAACTGTCAGTTTTCTGAGCCACTCCCTCGCGATGTGGCACTCGTGCGAGTTGGGGTGGAATGCCTCCTCCGGTCGGGGGCTGCAGTCCAACATCGCAAAGAAACCACCGCATAGGAGATTTACCTTGGCATCGGAGACCGTCTTCTCATTGCGCGCTGTCCCTGGATCCTGCTCCATCTTTTTTTCGTCACCTTTGGGCAAATGCTTCGTTGGCTTCTCTTTGGAACTCCCCGGTTTCTCCCCTGGTTTATCCTCCTTCCTGGGGTCCCTCGCCTTCCATTGTCCAAAGTGCATGTTGCAGGATCAGGGGATCTGCACTTTTTGAGATTCTTTGGGTGTTTTTTTGTCTTTACTCAAATTTTGACTGTCTACTTTTTCGAACGAACCAGAACTAATTTGTTGAAACTGAAGGAAAGTTCCAGGGGTAGTTCTCTCGGGAGATTTCAGGGAATAGTTGGAGGGGAAAGCTCTGTCCTATGGTTCTATGGATGGGGTTTCTATCTAGATAGATCTAGGGATATTGCTAAGTATATTTCTGTGGATAGTTTTGGGTTACCAAACGCCCAACCTCCTGAGATGGATTTCTAGGTATCTTTGTTCCAGGTCTCAAAGAGTCCTTTTCAAAAATTCCCTCTCTTTACCAGTAAAGGTTTCTTCGGGAGTACCACAGGGCACAGTGCCTCGAAATGCAAAGTTATGACAATTCATCGCTCTAGCCCCTTGTTGGCTCCCTATACCCTATTTGGTGGTCCTCTTGAGAGAATTACTCTGGTGGATGATCTGGGTGTTATGTTAGACCCCACGTTAAAGTTTTCCGAACACATTTCTACCGTGGTAAATAAGTCCATGGACATGCAGGGGTTTATAAAGAGGTGGTCAAAGGAATTTGACGTCCCCTATATAACAACTGCTGTTAGTAATGGAGGATTAGTTAACCGTAGAAAAATGCTTGGTGTGATTTCTATGCACAACTTGATCAGGGGTGACATAGACAGTCCTGATATGTTGAGCCGCATAAACTTCACGATTCCTATTCGACTTACTAGAAATTTTACACCGTTGTTCCTTCCACTTTGTAGATCGAATTATCCCTTTCTAGTAATTAGTAATTGTAGTGGTATTGTATTTTGAATGCATGCCTAGTTCTCAGTAACTTTCATGCTAATTTTCCTCGAATATTAGTCTAACAGCTATCTCTCCTGCTGGTTTCAGACGGGCCACTTGACTGTGCAGTAATTGCATCGCCTCTTGCAAGGTGCAGTCATTGCATTTCAACGTTCAAAGAATAAAAAAAAAGTTCTTAGGAAACGGCTGATGATATTGATAGTTGTAGGGAGGGGTTTTTTAAGGGATGTTTCTGCGGAGTTCTGTTTCCTTAAAATTCTTTTAAAAAATCCTCTAATTCTGGCTGAGCTTTTGAGCAGGAGAATAAGTAAATCTTCGTCTCCAGAGAGCCAGAGCCCGAGCCCGTCCCATCCCATCCCATCCCATTGGCCGCGACTCCCATGTGGGAGCCACATTGGCCACACGACTAATTCTCTGTCATGGTCTGCATGTATGTTGGGTTTTTGCACAAAACTCGAATTTTTCAGGGGAACCATTTACATTTTTAAATTATATATTTTTTATTAGTCTAACAAAAATAAATAAAATAATTTTACTAATAGCTGCCTATTACTTTTAATATGGAAGCATAAATAATATTGAGTTTAGTTTAGATATTTAAAAATATTGAGGTCTTAGGGAACTCTCACCAAATATAAATTTTTGTGTGCCATCATATATACCTCTTATCAAAAAGTCAAAGAGAAAGAAGCCGGGTCAACATTAGTTTCATTTCTGGTCCCGAACATATAGGATAGATATGTTTTGAACAAAATTCAGTTTTAAATCATTCAGTACAAAATTGTAAATATCGGTTAGACCAGTAAACCTGCAGCGAAATGAACAGGCGAGGTATCGGCATGCTGAAAACGCTCAAGAGCACCTGTCGCACATTTCCATGTCGTTTCGCTACCAAAGTTTCGAAAATTGGCAGCGGGACTGGCATCGGGAGAATCCCCAGCGGAGTGCGAGGGAAAGATGGCCTCAGCAGGGTTAATATGCCGTCGATCGTTACGCACCTTCCTCGACAAAAAGAACCACTGCCAAACGTGCCGGAGGCTGAATACGCAGCCCCAATGGCTGAGAGTGCCGCCACAAGGGTAACGACCCTTGAGAATGGACTGCGCATTGCCTCGGAGCCGCGCTGCGGACAATTCTGTACTGTCGGCCTGGTTATAAGCTCGGGTCCACGCTATGAGGCGGCCTACCCCGGCGGTGTATCGCATTTTCTCGAAAAGCTAGCCTTCAACTCCACAGCTAACTTTCCCAACAGAGATGCCATACGGAAAGAGCTGGAGGAGAACGGGGGCATCTGCGACTGTCAGACCTCGCGCGACACTCTCATCTATGCCGCCAGCATCGACAGCAGGGCCATTGACTCGGCTACGCGTCTCTTGGCGGATGTCGCTCTGCGACCCACGATAAGCGAGCAGGAGGTGAATCTAGCAGCGCGTGCCGTCAACTTCGAGCTGGAGACGCTGCGCATGCGCCCCGATCAGGAACCGATACTGATGGACATGATACACGCGGCTGCCTACGGGGACAATACGCTAGGCCTGCCGAAGCTCTGCCCTCCAGAGACTCTGGAAAGCATAGATAGGGCTGTGCTAATGAAGTACCTGAAGCATCATCACTCTCCCAGCCGCATGGTTTTCGCAGGCGTTGGTGTGGATCACGACGAACTGGTGGAGCTCGTGAGGAAGTACTTTGTGGAAGAGAAACCCATCTGGGAGAGCGAGCCAGAAAGCAGCGTAGGACCTAAGCAGGTGGACACTTCCATCGCCCACTACACTGGCGGTATTGTGAAGGAGCAATGCGAGATTCCCTTTTACGCGGCCGCTGCTCTGCCGGAGCTGGCCCATGTCGTCCTTGGCTTTGAGGGATGCGCTCACCAGGATCCAGACTATGTGCCCCTATGCGTGCTCAACATAATGATGGGCGGCGGGGGCTCCTTCTCCAGGGGCTCCGGCGGTCACGGCAAGGGAATGAACTCGCGCCTCTACACAAAGGTCCTAAATCGCTACGACTGGGTGCACAGTGCCACGGCACACAATCATGCCTATACCGACAGCGGCTTGTTCTGCATACACGGCAGTGCGCCGCCGCAACACTTGAACGACATGGTCGAGGTGATAGTCCGCGAGCTGTTGAGCATGGTAGCCGAGCCGGGACGCGAGGATTTAATGCGCTCGAAAATACAGCTGCAATCGATGCTACTGATGAACCTGGAATCGCGAGCTGTAGTGTTCGAGGATGTCGGGCGCCAGGTGCTCGCGTCGGGGCATCGCAAGCGGCCAGAGCATTTCATTGAGGAGATAGAGAAAGTGTCCGCCGCAGATATACAACGCGTGGCCACACGACTGCTTAGCTCCCCGCCATCACTGGCAGCACGCGGAGACATCACCGGCCTGCCCGAAATGGGCCATGTCACTTCCGCCCTTGCTGGTGCTGGGCGCACCGGTCTCGGGCGACGATTGTCCCCCTTCAGTTCAGACCAGCATTTCTGCAAATCTACCAAATCGAACGAATCAAAGGGATTGTGCCTCACAGACAAGAATGTGGTTTTCGTGGCCGGTCTGGGAGGAATTGGCATGGACACCAGCCGGGAGTTGGTTAAGCGTGACCTCAAGAACCTGGTCATCTTGGATCGCATTGAAAATCCGGAGGCCATTTGCGAACTGAAGGAACTCAATCCCAAGGTGAAGGTCAGCTTCTATCCCTACGATGTGACTGTGCCTCTCAAGGAGACGACCAAGCTCCTGAAGACCGTCTTTGCAAAGATAAAGACTGTCGATGTGCTGATCAACGGTGCTGGCATCCTGGACGATCATCAGATCGAGCGCACCGTTGCCGTTAACTATACGGGCCTGGTCAACACCACCACAGCCATTATGGAGTTCTGGGACAAGCGCGAGTGCGGCCCTGGCGGCATCATTTGCAACATTGGCTCCGTCACCGGTTTCAATGCCATCTACCAGGTGCCCGTTTACTCCGGCACCAAGGCGGGGGTGGTTAACTTTACCTCCTCCCTGGCAGTAAGTAATCCAACGTCTTTCCTACTCCCTAAACTGAATATTTCCCTCAAATCTCATAGAAATTGGCCCCCATTACTGGTGTCACTGCTTACACTGTCAATCCTGGCATCACTAAGACCACTCTTGTCAATAAGTTCAACTCGTGGCTGGATGTGGAGCCCGAGGTGGCGAAGAAGCTGCTGGGGCCTCCCAACCAGACCTCTCAGCAGTGTGCCGCGAACTTTGTGAAGGCCATTGAGCTGAACCAGAATGGTGCCATCTGGAAGTTGGATTTGGGCACTTTGGAGCCCATCAAATGGACCAAGCACTGGGACTCTGGCATCTAAACCACTCTCTAAACCACCCACACTCTATAATAAGGCTGATTTGATTATCTTTTCTGGAACCCCGCTCGAAATATCATAATATTACAAAATTATATTCGGCAAAAATTTCAATTTTATTTTGAAATTTTTTAAATTAGACTCTTAAGTTGTTCTCTTTCTTTCCCTCTCAAAGGGTCAAAAATTTGGTCAAATCCTGTTGCATATTGAGCAACAGGTATGTCCTCTGCGCATTAGGATCCCCTCCGAGCATTTTCTCCTTGTATTCGGGATCGTTGCAGCTGTATTTTTTGGAAAATGTCTTGTAGCGCTCTATTTCACCCTCCAGATAGTCGTTTGCTCCCTCGGATGTTTCACCGCGCAGCTCGCGACGAATGCACTCCATAAGGAAGGTCCTGTTGCAACGGCGGTTTGTTGTCACAGTTCGAATTATTTTCTCTCTATCATACTCTTCTCCGGAGGCCTCTGGCCTCCACTGATTCGTCTGGGTGCCATTTTCCTGCTTCTTTTGATTCGATCCCTTGAACCCGCACTCTTTCCGGCTTGGGAACTGCGCTCTATAGGATTGTATTGAAGTTGTATGCCTTCTGTCATCATCAAAGCATGGTTTGTCGTTGAAGGATACTGGCGTCTTGAGATTTTTGATGCAGACCTTCGGAGAGCTATCTAGATAGATCTAGGGATATTGCTAAGTATATTTCTGTGGATAGTATTGGGTTAGTTCTAGGGAAACGGCTGCTGATGCTGATAGTTGTAACGAGGGGTTTTTGGAGGGATGTTTCTGCGGAGTTCTGGTTTCAAATAAATATTTCAATAAATATGTTGTGCTATTTGTTGTGTGATATAAAATGGTCTTACCAAATATTTGAAACATACCTAAAAACTCTTTTAAAAAATCGTCTACTTCTGGCTGAGCTTTTGAACATTTAAGTAAAAAATAAAGTACAATTTCTAAGAGATTATATTCTATAATATAAATTCTATAAATATTCGAACGCTTTCTCTAATTGAGTTATATGTGACGTATTAGGTCCTTTATTATAGTCTTGTTATAGTGAATTCCGTGGCAAGGATTTTGAGTGTCTCGTCTGTATATTTGTGTGTTTTTTGGAAGCTCCCTGTGGATGCCCATCCTAGCGATTGCCGAAGAATAAGTAAATCTGCGACTTCCCATCCATACTCCTCCTACTTTTCGTGTCTCGCGTGTGGGTGATGTGTCAGGGTCTCCGTCTGCATACAGTATATTTTTTTCTTGCAAAAATCACGCATTTTTTTGGTGTATAATATATACATCTATTCAAAAGAAATGGCAAGGTGGCGTACCTTGAGGGCATTTGGAATGCAAATTTTTCTATTCTGTTCTTCCTATTTTCCTTCGTTTTTCCTTGTCCATCCCTTTCCCTCCGTTTTCCCTCCTTTTTTGTTTGTCATTCCAATTGATTTGCTGATTTGCGCATCAATCAAAAGAAAATTTCTGTGTGTAAATTTTACTTTCATGTGTGTTCGGCAAAGGATTGCCATACAACATATATACTCGTAGCTCTCCATCGATTTGCTTATTGAATATCCGTCCTAACTGTTCGTTTCGCTTCGTTTTTGTTGGGTCTGTCGATTATGGGGGGAAATGATTGAGCATAATGATTCGACCGGCCCGAAATCAACAGCAATTACCTGTCTACGAACGTCTCGGATGAGAAGAGCCAAGAGACTACACAGGAAGGATGAACTTTGGAGCGGTTAAATGGAAGCCCAGTTGAAGGTTACAAATAAATGGCTTGAATCAACGCAAATTGGGAGGGCAGTCTGGTCGGAAATAAAGAAGACAAAAATGTTTCATGAAAGAAGTTATAATCTAAACCTTTGAAAATGCTTTTAATTGCAATAGGACAAGGCTCTGTTCCACCACTACTATAGGTTGTACGTTATACCGGGAAAAGATAATATCCTAGAGAAATCTGTAGGTTAAGGCACGCAGGTCTTTCCGCACTGGCGTTTACTTGCCTTGCACTCAGATTGAGAAGCCAATAATGATACCGTAAGCCGATGCAGGCAATTTCCACTACCCGCCACTGAAATCCACCTCCCTCTGCGTGGAGGGAGGCAAGGCAAGGCAAGGCAAGGCAAGGCACAAAATTCAATTTCCCAGAGCCCAGCGCATTGGCATGTCCTAGATTTCTCCTGCAATCCACCCAAAACCCCAACCCCCCAAACCCCAAACCCCAAAGTCTCCTCACGCCATCAAGGAAGTCAAACTCTTTGGCAGTTTGCCATCAAGTTGCGCTTTAAAAGTGCGTGCGCCAGCCCCCAGACCCCAGCGACCAGAGACCAGACGACCCAGGCCAGACCCAGGCCAACCCCAATGGCTGGGTGGGTGTTCTTGTAGATGGTGTTTTTGGTTTGGGTTCCCCCGCTCCTATGTCAAGGGTTAAGTGTTTTAAAGTGAGCCACCATTCAGGCCATTTCTATGTTATCGCAATTTACCAAGCACTTCTCTCTAGCTCCAGTTCCTGCCTTCTACCTTGTACCATTTACTCCTTTGGAACCAGAACCCCAGGAGGCGATACCTCACATGTCATTATCTTAATTTAAGGCAGCCCTTGGCAGGCACTCCACCTCCATCTCCTTCTCCACGTCTCGTCGCGTCGCGTCGGGTCGGGTCGTCTCTCCTTCATAGAGCTTCTTTCAACTCCCATATCTCTTACTTGAATACACAATTATGTGGCATGGCGGTGTGGGAGTGTGTGGGGCGGGTGGCTAGAAATTAAATTTCCCCCGCTTAGAGACACGACGGTGGTACTTTCAACCACCTCTCTACATCCTGCTCATTATTATATAGTCACGTGGCGGGGCTACGGCTACGTACACGGCTGTGTCTCGTTACTATGCGGCCATATCACGACTTGAGATTCGTCGAGAGCTCTCTCCGGCTTCTAGTACTTTATCATTCAGCAAAGGGTAAACTAACTATGTGATAGACTGTACAGAAGTGCAATCAGTGGGACCAAGACAGTGTCGTAGTGTATGAATTTCAGTTACAAAAACTTTTAATGTATTTTGATTCTTATTTAAAAGGAATAGGAACCCCTATATCTTTAACAAACTACCCTATCCGTTATCTGATGATAGTATACCATTCTTGAAGCTTATATTCTCTGGCAGATCCAAAGATCTTATCGCTCTTTTATATAAAAACCTTTTGGGTTGTAGTTTTTACACATATCGGAGCCAAGCGAGTGAACCGGGGGTCGCCGTCCCTTGCGCTGTTATATTATTTTATGCTCTTTTAACTTGACTTTCCCTTCTTAATACAGAGTATCCCATCTTCCCCTTAGTTTGCGTTCCATCTTCGACTTATTTCTTGTTTTGTTCCTCGTGTTATTAGATTCGTGGGAGTTTCACATGCAATTTGCCATCTTTCTTGCTTTTCCAGCACCGTTTTTGTTGTACATAGAAAAATGCACATAAATACATACAATATATGTACTCTTCCTCTATGGAAAACCCCTGCTTGTGTGTGTGTGTGTGGGTGACATAATGAGGTCTGTGGTTTCAGCGGATGATGATGATGATGATGCCAGGGCTCTATAAAGTAATATTAACATTTTATTGCATTTGAATTTAAAATGTCTGCCAGAGTTTGCACAGGAAATCAACAAAAGTGTCACAACTGATGTGTCATCCACATGTTAACCTACATATCCATCGATATGTGTGTGCATGGTGTGTCCTTGCAGGCGATAGTAGTGTGCTGTTGCTGCTGCGTGTGCATTTTCCATGTCCAGTGGCTGACAAGTGCGCAAATGAAAGGAATTTTAATTGCATATAGCTAACAAAATGTTCTCTCGTCAAAAGAATACTCGTACATTTACCTAATCAATAGATATCCATGCTAAGATTGGCCTCCGCTTGAAGGGGTTTTCTTTGCTTTTCCAAATATGATAGTAAATTATTTAAAGATAAAGAAGATGGCACATTTCAAGGTTGGAGTTTCTGTGGAGGCTATTATTCTTCTTTAATGTGTTCCAACTGTAAAACTTCTACTTTCTCCTTAAATTGTTATTCCTCCATTGCCAACAAATCCCAATTATAGTCTAATACTGGATCCACCTGTAAATAAATCAGGAACAAAACGAATATTAGTGAGAGAAAAAAAGGGAAACTTTCCGTCTTGACGAGTGATCACTGTAGACTTTTGTGGCTCGTTTGTGGATTTAATTCGCAAAACTTGCGCAATTTAATTATTGCCAAAGAAAGAGTTAACACAACACGCAATGCGCCTCGTCTGAAATGCAATGCTCTTTTCTGGTTACTGGCTCCTGGTTCCCGGTAGATCCTGGTGGCCAACTGTGGCAATCAATGCATGGGAAATGCATCTGAATGCATATTGAAAATGTGCATAAATGCAGGCGGGTAGCAGTGGCAGTGGCAGTGGCGGGGATCTGTGTCGGGGTTTCAGGTTTCAGGTTTCGAGCTGCTGAGTGGGTGGTGACAATGCCGTCTGCTTGGCGTTTATGCAACCCGCACATACCCACACACACACACACACAATCAATTATGCAATATGAAAAGCCAAGCCATGTCCGTTGCAACGAACAGAGAGTGAGAGAGAGAGAGAGAGAGAGAGAGGGAGGCGGAGGAAAAACGAAAAATCGAAAAGCATTTGCGGCAATTTCTCAATAAGAGCGGAGAAGGTATAGTGGCAGCCGGAGTGCTGTCGGTGTCGGGGCATCGAAACCGGAGCCGTAGGCAACATCGACGTCTGCAATGCGCCACGCAAACTCCAGAGGGGTAGGGGCAGGCACAGAGGGGTAAAAGCAACAACTCATATTTTTTTTTTACTTTTCTTTAGCGAAGGGTATAATGATTATGTAGAAATGTTTGGCATAAATATGGTCATGGATCTGACCGTCTGTTCGAATATCCTGGTATTTAATGTTCGCACCTTTTACATTAGACATTTCTGCAAGTGTATTCAAAATTCGTTAGCCACTATCGTACCGAATCCCTTCTTGTTATTATTGACAAAGAGGGGACTGTCGACTGCCGATTTTCATTGAATATTTTTTGGTCAGAATGAGCCAGAAGAGGCCGCCACACAGGGCAGGAGGAGGCCCAGAGTCAGAGTCATGGGCAGGAGAAGGAGCAGGAGCAGGAGCCGGAGCAGTAGCCGGAGCAGTAGCAGAAGGAGCATTCAGTTCAGGCTTCAGACTGCGCTCGAGCGTGTCAGAAGTTTATGCCAAAGGCTACAAAACAGTTTACACCAACAACAGCGGCAGCAGCACAATGCCTGGGAGTCGACTCGGCTCGACATTTTGCTGACCTCAATATTTGTTCAACTTTTCAGCAACAATTTTGTTATGCGATTTTGCTCCTTGCCCAAGGGGTCCTGCTACTCTGCTCCCGCTCCTGCTGCTCCTGCTGCTGCTGTCATAAATGCCTGCAGTTTGGCAGTTGTGCAGTGAAAGTGATTTTCAGCATGGCAGCAAGATTGAGAGGTGGAGTGGAGTCGGTTCGTTTCGTTTCGTTTTCGGTTCGGTTTGGTTCAGTTGGTTTATTGGTTTGATTTGCTGCTGCTAACTTTTGTGGTGCTGATTATGATGGCTGCTGGCCTCAAAGGTGGCTACCACCCACCAGTATGTAGATGAGGCTCTGCCTAAATCAAATTTCATGCCTCAATAATAATCCAAGGCCTTCGCTAAAAGTACACAATGACATTTAAACATCAACTGCCATTAGATCTAGTCTCTGTCTCTGACTTACCCAGATGCGGGCCATGAAAAAGCCTATCAAAACCATTTGGCATACCGGACCCAGGACCACAATTGGCATCAGTCGCAGTCCCCCGTAGAGACCGCCGCACAACGACACCCAGTGACAGATGGCCGAGGTGAAGCAAACGAACATCAGACAGTTGGATGCCAACACCAATGCGCTAATTAAAGTCCGTTTGCAGTTCTGAAATGAAAGAATCTTTTGACATGAAGAGCCGAGCCGAGCCGAGCCTAGCCGAGAGGAGCATTCCTTACTGGCACTAGCAGGGCCAGATTGAAGGGCAGCAACAGGGCCAAATGGTGCCGGAAAAGTGACTCGAAGAACCGCCATTGGGGTGTTGTCAGCACCACATGCCAATCCTCGCCAGATTCCCGAACTGCTGGCGTCTCATACACAAAGGGCACATAATAGAAGGTGTTCACCGGACCCGTGGACCCAATCGAAGCTGCCAAAAGAGAAATTCCTTAAGGTAATCCAAGTGCTGTGGAGCCGCAAACGTACACTGAGCCAAATGCTTGAACATATTAATCACATAGTAGAGTAAAATGTTGTGCAGAACGAGCAGAGCAGCCATCTTCTTGATTGGACGGATTTGACGCTGTGAATGGAGGGTTTTTAAAGAAGATTCAACCACTCGGTGTGTGCTTTCTTGGAACTTACAAATAGCAAGTAGGTCTGATAGAAGCAAACAATAAAATTTAAAATCACTTCATGCATATCGACCATATTGCTGAAATCGTTGAGGAATTTTGGAAAACTTTTGATTTCATTTAGATTTATCGAAATAACAGTGAAATTTTGACAAGAAAATGTTAAATAAATATAAATTTAGCTGTCCCAGGGAGCAAGGTCGATGATGGATGATGCATGCCAAGGCAAGTCGATGCATGTCGATTCATTTTACTAATTCTTCTTTTCTTTCTGCTTTTCATGTCGCTGCTGCATTCGGCAGAGGCAGAGGCAGAGGCAGCGGTCAGCAATCGGCAAGCCTCTCACGCTCTGGCGACTGCTATAGATCGGCCTCTGCCCGCTTGGTGACGCTGACGCTGTCGCTTCTGCTTAAAGTTCTGCCCGCTATTCTCTGCTTTGCTCATGAAACTTCGTGTCGGCCTCTCTCTCATCAACTGGCACGCTCTCTCAGCTCTGTCAGCCCTTCTCTGCCCGCCTGATCTTGATCCACTGCGGTCTTCGGGTGCCTTAGTTCGGTAGGTCTGCCCGCTATTCGGGACTCTGCTGCTGTCTCTTGGCTTCGATGATGTCACCTCCTGATGCCCTACATCAAACCTCAGGTATTATTCCAACATTCTAAGATTTGTAATCTTCAATATTTTCTTATAATTACGTTCTATTTTGTAATGGAACCCCCTTCGATTGATCAGTTTCATTTACGGAATATCTGTGGTATTCTTACTCATTAAGAGGCAACAACAACGTTTCCCTAAGGGCCACCTCAATTATTATGGCTATAATTAAATGCAACTGGCCGCAGGTCTCATTCACCGTCTCCGTCTCAGACTCAGTCTCGCTCTTTTGGCCAACAGTTTGCAATTACCAGATTGTTTCATTTAACCCAAGAACTGGTGATATGATAATGATGATGAGCAGCAGCAGCAGCAGCAGGAGCAGCAGCCAGGAGTATCAGCCGCAGAAGCAGCAGGAGACTGCTGCAGCAACATCTGTAGAAACAAAACAAAATAATTTGATTTAATTTAATTTGCCAGCATGTGCAAATAATGTAAAACATTTCTCAACATGTAAGTGCCATTGCAAATTGACTGCCAGTCAGTCATTCAGTCAGTCAGTCAGTCAGTCAGTCAGTCAGGCGGAGAGCGGCCACAGCCACAGTGGAAAGCGGTGGGAAGCAGCGACAGATACAACTGCAGCCACATTTGAGCACCGATGGAAACAGCAACAGCAACAGCCGCACACCATCAAGGAGACCACCGACAACAACGCTAGCAACAAAAACAAGCAGCACGGCCACACTGACAGCAACTGGCAATGGAATATTCCTGCATATTGTGCAAACAATAAACATTGTTAATTAATTTACTTCAACTCGAACGACGGCAACTGCACTTTGGCTTACCCCACCGATAAGGATGACTTTAAGCTTCTCTGCACACACACACACACACACACACACACACAAATTGCGTAAGGGCATTGGAGGATAATGAGGGAGTACTCGTACATTCCAAAAATGGGAAATTGTCGGCCATTCCGATTGAATGATTGAAGGATAGCTTCTTATCTTGTTGCTGATCTGGAAAATGAGATAAAATTAATGAAATGGAAGGATCACTAAGGAAGAAGCCTAACAAAATCAAGGGAAATGGATTTACAGGGTAAGTAAAGAGGCTGCAAAATAGGCTCTCAAACAGATGACAACTTTGGGAGCTCTTAGAAAGATATAGAAAAATGTTATAGGCATTCAACTTTGGTGAAATGCTATCGAAATTGAATTGTGGAACGTCCCGCGTAGATTCGGATGAAATTCACTTAATAACGCTTATGTGATATTACTCTTACTTCGCAGCTCTTTGATAACTTTTGGCATATTGGAGAGGCTCTGACTTTAATGCCTCATGCAAGCGATATCATTATAAATAATGACTGTGATTAAATATGATGTAATCCTTTTGGCAGGGCTGCCAATTCGGGGCAATTTTTTGTTGTTTTTGCTGCAAACTTAATTAAACATTAATCATAGCATCAAGTGGAGGAAGGAGGGAAGGAAATGTGAATACATTCGATTGGAGAATGGGACAGACAGACAAGTGCATTAATTAACGGCCAGTCGGCTGTCCTGTCCCCTGGTAACTGACCATAAAGGATTTGTGTTATTAATTGAACGATTTTCCGTATGAAGTTGAGTATCCTCTGCTGACTCTGACTCGCCCACTCTTTTGTGGCGCACTTTTCATATTTTTTACTGTATTTTATTCTGCATTCTCCTCCTGGTTTTTAGCCATTCCCGACGTGTGGATGGGGCTTATTTAAGAACAACTGTCACGTACGGCACGGATTCCCCACAGACCACACTCACAAATACATTTCATCAAAGGAAATTGAGCTTGAATTGATTCGGCACATAACCATTTCCAGACCGATATCGCCCTTTCGGCCATATGAGTATACCTTTGGCATGGCCCTAATGTGTGTCATTTGGCCTCGGCCGGCAGTTATCTCCAGGCCAAATTCACAAAGGGGCGGTAATTTTCCTTAGAACAAAAAACCACAAACCGAGAGAAAGAAGGCTCTGGCTGGCTGGCTGGCTGGCTGGCTTTCCTTTCTTGTTAGCTAAGTGAATTTTTATTTGCCTTAGCATTTAGTCAGTGTCCAGCGTCCCTTATTCGATTCGAGTGCACATTTATCGGTATATTTAATGTATTTTATTTGATTTTTGGTTTTTAGTTTTTCTGGTCCGAAACTGAAAGCATCATAAATCTGTGAAAATCGAATGAACGAAGGAAGGCCTCTCTCCCTCTGCGAACACAATTTCCTTTTGGGGTCCGAGCTTTCGATTCAATCAGGGATCATGGAACATGAGCAACAAGTCCCAAAAACCAGAGAATCCGTTCAGGGATACATTTCAATTTCATTCGCAACCAAAAAAAAAAGGGGAAAAACGGAAAGAGTCCACAGACCAAAACTGAGACTCATTTACACATTTATGTGAAAAGCGTCAACTTCAGTGTAATTTATGCATACAACGGAATTTAAATGCGCTCTTTTTTGCCTTTATTCGCATCTTTTTGTGTGTGAAGGGATGCGTCACTTTCATTTTTCACTGGCTGGGAATGTCCCACAGAGCCACAAGAGAAATGAGCCGTAATGGGTGCCAAAAGCCAAAAGATGACACTGTCCCAGTGCCCAGTGCCCAGTGCCAGACAATTTATGCGAGTTTGGGGAATTGTTTCGAAAATTGACAAATTATGGCCATAAGTGCTACGATTAGTCCTTTCTTTTGGTTGCCCTTTTTGCTTGCCAAGGTTGTCTCGCTTCTCATAACCACAATAAACGCCTTACCACACATCCACATATATATACATATATTTATAGATATAAGGCATCCTTGAGTCTGCTCGGCTCCGTTCTATTCCATTGAAAGCGCTGCGTGTTATTAATAATTCAATTTAGCCGTCTCACAACAGGCGCCGGGTCAGAGAACCCACCCATGCCCGTACTCTCACAGCTTCGAGCACGCAACTGCGTTCACCCAACAACCGTTCAGGGTTTCCATATACCATCCATAGAGCACCGTTCCATATACCATTTCCATACCAGGAGAGCGGGAGAGCTCATTATATATTCATGCAAGTTAAGTGCGAAAGCTCATATAGTGGAATAATAAATTGAATTTGGCCCATGAGCCGCACAACTGCATAAACACACGTTACACGTGCTACTGCTGCTGCTACTACTGCTATGAGGACCCCGCGTTAACTACCGAGCTACGAGTAGATACAAATGTATCTAAGCGTTGAACGAATGCCGGAGTGCCACTCAAACTATGTTCACGCGATAGGTTTCTGCTTGCCCTGGTTCTGGTTCTGGTTCTGGTGCTGGCTTTCTCGTACTCTCATTATGGTTGTGGGCGGTGCAATTTTCCACCAAACTGATTAGCAGGGCATAATTATGGAAACCGTAAAAGAAAGATTAGGTGGGATGATAGAAGCTTCAACTATCAACCAGAAGCCAGACACTAACTTTAGTAAAATGGTAATTATATTTGAAAAGAAAAGCTTTTGATTTCTCTTTAACGAAAGAGCGTTTCTTTATGAATATTTTTGAATTTAAACATACTAAAGGGCAGCCCATCAATTGTGATTCCTGACTGAGTAGAAAGTTCAGCATTCTCATCACTAATATTTACAAAAATCACTCGATAAGCGAGCCAATGATTTTTACACACACATGGGAGTGGTACATTTAGTAATACTTTTATATATATATTTTTTTTGTCCAATACATTAATTTAGATGTTAAGTGGCATGTTTCAATCACATTTCCCGCCTCCCCGACTGCCATAAAGTCCGAACCATCGTGGAATTAAAACACACTAAATAGAACAATCGGATTGTAGGCATGGCTCATCCTCCTCCTCCTCCTCCTCCTCCATTTATTAGCGCTTCTTTATCATTTGACGTCTCATGGCCTGTTTGCAAGCCTGTGAATGATATTTCTTGTATATTCATTTCGATAGATACTCGTACAGGTATGTATCTTGGACCACTTACGTGAAGACGGTAAAGAGTTTTGTTCGCATCGCCAAGTCGGCGCCAGGCCTTGGCCGCCTGTCGTATCACATCCTGCGGCTTGAGGTCCAATGCCCTGTTGCTCTGGCGGAATTTTCGTATAAAATTCAGATATCCATTATTGGTAATGGGGCCAGGGTTTCCCCTCTTTCTCTTTCTTGAGTCTAAGCCACTCCCATGGCAATCCATATCAACATTTCGCCTGAACTTTGATCTCTGTTCATCCGTGAGATGACGCCAGCGCTGAGCACCGGCCTTTGCAGCCGTGACCATATTCATATTAGAGTGATTTCGTCGATAAACGTCTAGGAAGTTGAGGAAAGGATTTCGGAGTTTCATCACAGGAGCCATTTTTCGAATTTTCTCTAAAAAAAAAGAAATGGATTAAAATTGCATGAGATTGAAAGCAGTTGGAAGGCTAATGGGAGAAGTCCTTTGTCTCTAGTTGCATGTGTACTTTGTTCGCCATTAATTGCTACAAATTTTGTTTGACTTGTATGGACGGGGATGTGTGGATGAGAGGAGGACTGCCTGGGGGCTGGAGGCTGAGTGTGTGACTAAGTGCCGGTCCCAGAAGCCGCAGAGTTGTGTCATGCCCAAAAGTCACTTAATCAGTGACGAGAATGGAGCTAGAGCCAGAACCAGAACCAGAACCAGTGGCAGTGGCAGTGGCAGTAGCTTCCTTCAGGACCTTCAGGGCCTTCAGGCTAAAGTCCATGGACTTGTTGTAGGCGACAGGCATCAGGCGGTTTGGCTGCAAACTGCAACTGCAACAAAAGCCCATAATTAATATCACTTTCCAGTTGCAAAATGCCACACGAAAGGACCCAGGACACAGACCCATGCGTGTGTGTCAGGTCTCTGGCAGTTGGTTGCGCCTCCTCCGGGGTCCAAGTGGGGTACGTATTACGAACTGTTTATTTAATTGTCGAGGAAGTCAGTAGCCACACACCATAGCCATCCTCACTCTCACTCTCCCTCTCTCTCTCACTCTCTCTCTATCTTCATGTCTGGTTTTGGTAATACAAATTAGTGCCCATCAGCATTTGGGCGTTGGGCATATAATTTAAATGGGGCAAGTACCCCCCCTCCCCACCGCTCACCGCTTGCCCATGGATTAGAAGGCTACTAAACCACATGGTTTCTTGCTACTTTATGTGGTATGCATTTTACAGGAGGATTAATTGAAGTACTGCACGATGCGAAAGAACTAGTTCATGGCCACCACCGAGTGGTTCTATGAATACTTTAGGATAATCTCGAGTAGTCTGGAAATAAATATTCAATTGCCATTTTGCAGGCATAAATTCAATGTATAATTAGGTACTATGTATCCATCCACTCATCCATCTGCCATCTAGTCCTCCCCAGTGTCTTTGTGTCTGTGTGTGTGTGTGTGTCGTATGCATTTCCCAAAAATATTAATTTGATATTGTTATGGCCATGCATTAATTCTGATTTATATCCAGCTGTGTGTCTCCCACCACACCACTGTGTAGAGTACCCCAACCGCCCCCCTTCCCGCACTCCCATTGCGAGCATTATACGCCCCATTTGTGTGGCCCATCGTCCCGTGCCACTGCCACTGGGGCTCCTGGTGCTCCTCCTGCCATGGCGGCTGTCTTTGCATGCAAACTTGAAATTCATCTTCTGCCTGCCAAGTGCTGCTCTGGCCAGGACCCCGCCAGGACACAACAGGACAGAGGAGAGAGGTGAAGTGGACTCGAGTGCCAATTATATGGCATATAAATAGCATTATGCTCGGCCTGGCAGGAGATTTGTTGGTCTGTTTGATGGCTCTGCTGACAGATGAGAAGACAGCAGAACAGAACCAACAACAGCGCCAGACTCTGAAGGATGTGCTTAATATAGGAATATCTGCACGAAATGGGAAACGCCATGAACAAAAATAAGAACCAAACCAACCCTCGACTGTAGTTGGTACGAGTATCAATGCTCTACAAAAACAAAAAGCGAATACTTACCGTAATCTATGATTATAGCACTACGGTTAGAATTTTAAAATCGGTAGCTGGATAAACAAAGAAATAACAATGTTGGAAAATCAGCGATTAAAAATTGGCCTTAATGGCCTTAAATTAAAAAGGAGTGCTTGGAAATATTCAATTATTATTTGTAGAACATGGCAACACTGGCGACGGAAGAGCGGCTATGCCACGCCTTAATCGAAAGAGGAAGCTAGACGATGCACACCGATCCGAGTGTTAAACAAAATCGCGGCTGAGGGCACCAGAAAGGATAACAGACGCCTTCCGTTCGAGCATATAAGAGGAGGATATAAGAAACACTTAAGGCTCAACACGCAGTCCCCATTCGGAATGCATTCGATTGGCATGACGGACAACGCCTACTATCTGCCGACCAAAAAATATATCCCCATTGCTTTATGATTCATGTTGATTTTTTCACCACGGATCAAAACGGAAGGGAAGGAACCAGGCAGGATAGAAATCGCGAGTCACGGGTCAGCCCGTGGGCGTAACGTGAAGTTTTCTTTCCGACTTTCAACACGACGCCCACATTGGATCCGAGTTTGATTGAACACTGCATTGCTTTCACTTTGATTTTGTTTTGTTCAACTTACCAAGAATTTGATACTGCACGAGACATAAAATGTTGTGGTATGGCAAAAAACGCGGCAAACTATAAATAAAAACTGACTGAACTGTTGACTCTATGAACGTACAATCAGGACTAAAATTATGTGCAAATGCTATAGAAAACGTAGTGACAGACAGTACAAAGGGTTGCTTTGTTTGAAAAAAAAAACGTACCAGTGTTGGTTGAGGCTGAAAACAGTGTGGGTAAACATCGATAGATGATTTCCTTCTATGAATCTATCTAGCCTTTAAAGTCGTTCCAATTATGTTTGGAGGGTTTTTCGTCCCTAGGTGATATCTACAGCACTTTGACTCATTTTTATGCTTTCTATGTATTTTGTTTCTCTTTGTTCAGGTTTTAACTGAAGCACTTGACAGAGAGCTAAAGGACGGCAGAGATGAAGAGCGGGCGCGGCTAAAGTGAGTAAGAGTCGACAAACTGACGGATTATAGAGGTGAGTGGAGCCGGGTGGACATGGGGAGGGGGAGGGCGTCGAGTGATTATCATTAGCCACCAGAGTAGTCGCCATTTAGCACGCACAACGAGCTGCAGCATCCACAGAAGCAGCAGCAGCAGCAGTTGCAACAATGTTTGAGTAATTGTTTGCCGTTGCAGCAGCAACAGCAGCAGCAGCATCAACAGCAACTGCAGATGCAACAAAATTTGCATGCAAACACAACCTCCTGCTACCCCCACCACCACAGCTGCTCCTCCTGATCCCCCAGCTCCTTTTGCCACCACGCCGACTCATCCCTGTGGCAGCTGCTGCTGCCGTTGCTGCTTCTGTTGTTGCTGCGTGGCAGCACACGTAACTGAACAGTGGCAACAACTGCAGCAGTAATTGCAACAAACAATTAGCGTCACTTGGATTTATGTTTACGAGCGGCTGCCTCGACATTTTCGGCCACAATGACACTACCTCCCTGCCCCATCGGATGACAGTGCCAGTTCCCAGTTCCCATTGCCCTTTGCCCCTCCTCCCCTTGATGGTTGTCAGCGAGAAAAAGTTGATCAATCAAGGGAAATAATTTATTTACGATTCGATGAACGAACGAATGAAAGAACTTGATGGCTTTCCGCCAGTGATTGCCCCATCCACCCATCTGTCTATAGAAGTTTTTACAGATCCGACAAGCCGCGCAAACATTTGGAAAGAAAATCTAAAATCGCAGCGCAATCTAGGGTACTTTTATCCTGTGGTATCTAGGTTTTCTACCCTACTATGTAGATTATTCTTCTGGATTCTGGATATCCTATCTCTATCTGGAGATACATTAACTGGACATTGCCTCTATCTATATTTATTCTATATCCCCCCTTTGTCTGGATACATCTTAACCGCACATCGGACCACTATCTGTAGAGGTTTCATATCATATGTAAACTCCGTTTGTCTTCCGACAAAGCCCTCTCATATGATTTATGTAATTGCCGCGGCGATGTTCTGCAGAGGAGGCTTCCAGGCCTAGACCTCACCCTCTTCCATATTCGCTTGTAATGAATGCTGTTGCAGCATGTAAATGACGTCATTACAAGACGTGGGGCGTGGCAGGACTGTCGACGGACGACGGACGATGGGCTGCCCACCGTATTAGACGGCAGAGGAAGAACCAGACAGGATAGGAGTCGTGAAAGAGGAGTCACGACCACTAGACAAACACGCGGGCCAGCCCCGTGGGCGTAACGGGAAGTTTCCGTTCCGACTGGCAACACTTTTGTGCAACGCCCCCGAAAAACTTTCGATTCGACTTTGATTCACTGCCGTTGCATTTGTTTTACTTTAGGTTTGATTTTGAATTTGTTTTGTTTAACTTATCAAGAATTCTGAGTGCAAAAAATACTTCTGGATGACGATGAAAAACAAACAAATAGTACTAGAATTTTCACGGCAAGCTTTAGAGAACTTAGTGGTGGATTGATAGAAAATTATGAAATCACTTCAAATGTCTTCCAATTCGGGATCGATGCAACTTTTAGTCTTAGTGTTGGTGGAACATCATTTCATTCATTCGTATTTCAAGTCTTGGAAAATGGCTGTACTTTTGTGCTGGCTAGGTCCCACCCCAGTGTTGGTTAGATGGAAAATAGTGTGGGTAATTGTCGCTAGCCGTCAAGAATATGTTTTTTAAATATATTTCCCATTTGTGGCTCTCGCGTATTATTCGTAAGTCTTATTTAGTTTTATCTTTGGCATAGTACTTTTTTAGGTGTGATTATTTAAACCCCTTTACCACTTCTGATACCTCCACCACCTTTAATTGATATTGTGAGCTTACCGTAGGAGACTTGCTGTCGTTCACTGTTTAGAGAATGAAACAAATATATAGACAACTAGTTTGTGAATAAATCAAGAACAAAATAAAAACAGAAGTTCAAACAAGGACAAAAAAATTGTAAATGAAGTGAATCCAGGATGAAACTAAAATGAACTCCAAGTCAAGGCCTACTACTGCGACACATGCACGCATACCGACGAAAAACCACAAGGCACACGCACACAGACACACAAAAAGTTAGATTTGATCAAAAAGGCGCCGCCGGATACGCATCCTGGGCAATATCCTTTTGTCTGGTCTGGTGTGCCGGGTGTCCTGGGTCTGTCTGTGTGTGTGGGAGCCTTGGCTTTCCTCTTAGGCGGCATAAATTATGTGAAACAATTTTTATTCCCACTACAGTGGGTACTGCTCCTGGCAGACAGAACTCGCTCTGCGGTTTATTAAAATTTCAGGCCGGCGGGCAAACAAAATTGCAAAAACAACAACAGGAGTGGGTGAAGGAGTAGTGGGTGTCGTAGTGGGAGTCGAGGTGGGAGTTCCGAGGTTGTTTTGGACATGTGTGAGGTTTTCTATTATCTGTAAAATGTTATGATTTATTATGTGCGGGTTCAAGTTGATGGTGTGGCCATAAATTGCGACCCTTTGGTGCGCCTTTGGCCGTGTGCCTCGTGTGCCTTTGAGTCTGGTTTGCCAGCAGCAGTTAAGTCAATTAATTGGCCTTAGATTTATTAGTTTTTTACCACCCCCCAAACCACCAAACCCCCACACCCCCACATCCCCATCCATCCCTCCCGACCTGCGGCACCGTATGTGCCGTGATTTATTGTTCATGGAATGCCGAAACAACAAAAGGAAAATTCCTCGCCTCGACTTTGACTTTGGCACGCACAAACGCACAAACGCCCGAACGTGCACGCACACTTGCCCCAGGATGAGTCCAGGTGACACTCTAGCTCTCAGAGGGACATTCCCTCCTCGGCTTCTCTCTGGGGGAGTGGCATTTGCATACAAATAGATATGTCAGCCAAAATATGATCCACATGAGGTATTCTCAGATACTTCTACTACCATTTGGCGGGGCCAAGGTCCTACTTCGCGTGTCGCGATATGCGACACTTTCAAGTTCCTTGTTCGGACATTTTCCATTAAATTAGTCTTAGTGTCAAAATTGTGACACAAAAACTGATGGGCGGTCCTCCACCCAATGCTAATGTATTGTACTAAATTATTAACTGGGTCAAAGTGGCGGCACAAATAAAAAGTCTCCAACATTTCTATGGAACAAACTGTCAAAATGTTGGCCGCGAGGAGGTTGACATTTGTGAAAAAAGTGGCTGTTGATTGGGGGCTGTTTTCTTTGGAGAAAGAATGTTTTCATTATCAGGAGACAACAGTATCCTTAGCTGTACTCCCCTGTGGCTGTAGGCCGGGAAATATTAAAGGGAACATGCTAGGGTATTCCCGTTAAATACTTGGCTCCAGGTGCTCATCCTTTCATCAACTTTGACCCACATATTGTGTGTGCAAATACTGTTTGCAATGCGACTTTCCTTAACCTCAATGTAAATACTCCGCCATTAATAAAAGAAATCCCACAAAAAAAGGCGATGAGAATACGAATTGAATTCCTTACAAATCATGTTGACAAATTCGACTGTAGGCCAAGGAGGCGCACACATCCCATTGAGAAGGGGGACTAAGCCCCTTCCTCTCTCTCTCTCTCTCGCAGTCAAGTGCAAGCCCAACCCCAATCCCCGACCCCAGTGTCAGATCACCAGGTCTCCTCAGGGCCGTCGGTGTAATAACTTAAAATCCTATAATAAAGCTACTTACTGCCGTATTCGCTCTCATCCTCGTTGTCGTCGTCGCCGTCTTCGTTGTCGTCGTTGCTCTAACAATAACTATTTTTCTTGGGATTTGGCTTTGGCTCGAATTGAGTTCTCGAGGCTTTCTGCCACACCGCAAATGTGCAAGTCAAGTCAAGTGCATACGTCACTGGTTCCATTATATAGAGAGAGAGACTCAATTCCAGTCCCCAGCAGCAGCAGCCAGGTCTAAGTGCATGGCATCAATTTTTTGCCCCCCCCTACCACATATACCATATATTTTATATATTTTTTTTTTAGTTACTTTTCTGTCTATAAAAAATTTCCTACCAAGCGGACTGGATTAAGATTGAATTTTTCTCTTGGCGCAGGTCGCCTCCCCACAACCCCCTACAATCTTGGCTACCGGGTCTTCTCTTTTTCTCGTCAGGTGAAGAGTCGTTTAGATATCCTACACAAAAGGCTGCTAAAAAATATTTTCATGTTGAAATAGAAATATTTCCCCATTGAAATTGGAAACGTTTTTGCCATTGTGTCCTGTATCTCTGCTTGGATGTGTCTGTGTGTGTGTGTGTGAGTGTCTGTGTGTGCAACCGGATGTTGTACAGTTATTGGAATGTCTCTTCAATCCCCAGACTCCTACCCCCATCACAGTCGTAGATGCGAAGACTACGACAATGGACTATTAGTTGGCATTTTTCTAGTATTTTTGTCGTTCCTCGTTGTCCTCGTCCTCGTTCTCGTCCTCGTCCTCGGACAGGAAATGGTAAACTGATTTCTCTTATTAATTTCAGTTGGCAATTTGTGCAGATAAATCAGCACAGTTGTCCGGCTCTGGGTCTCCCTTTCACTGTACCCCCAAAAACCCCAAACCAAGACCCTAGATTTCCATTCCCCCATTACCATTCATTCACTCTCAAAAAGTAAGCTCAAC